GTGAGGTGGATGACTCCTCCCCCCTCCTACGTAAAGAGAGACGAAAGTTGGCGACCGGCGAGCAGGACGGGTCGAGGGGCCGCCGCCACTTGTCCAGTCAGAATCTTCTCAACGCCCGCACCTCGCCCACGCCCTCATCTCCCTCCACCACCCCAACCACTCCTACCCTCTTCTTGTCATCTTCTGTCAACTCCTCAGTGTCACCAGCCGCCTCCCCCGCTGCGTCTCCCACAGTCTCCCCCGCTGCGTCTCCCACAGTCTCCCCCGCTGCGTCTCCCACCGTCTCCCCAGTCATCTCCTCCCCGAGCCCCACGGCAGGTCTCGGCAGCAGGGCCTCGTCCCCGCTGGCCTCCGAGCACAGCAGCTCCTCCTCCAGTCCGTCCGGATCCCGGAGAGAATCTCCGCTGCCGTCCCCCAACGGCACCATGGACACGGAGCAGGGAACAAAAACGCCGCCAAGCCCGTGAGTTCACTCTGCTCGTGACCTTTACCTCCTGATTCTGATCATTAATAATCAATGAGACTAATCAATGAGAGCTAGGTAACCTTTAATCTCAAGGAAGCTCGTATAACATTCGACAGCTCCAGACGTTTCGCTAAACGGAGCCCAAGTAGAAACCTGAAATCGAGGCAGTAGCGGAGGTTCAGATGTGCGAGCGTGCTTTTCTGCAGGTTTGTGGGAGGAAACGACCTGAAGTCCTTCCTGCAATCGTGACTCTCCTGCAGGTCAAACGCCGTGTCGGCTGTTAATCGGAGGCAGCGGTCAGACTGCGTCTCCCTCGGGTGCTGTGGTCTGCGCCGTCGCCTTCTCCCTCTGCTCAGTTTACCAAGTTTAGCCCGACACACGGAGCGAGGAGGGGGGGAGACGGGGGGCGTGTTTTGTTTGGAAGCAGCTTTTCTGTGAGTTCAATCAGCAGGAATGTTTGTTCTCAGCGGGTAAACCTTTCTGCTCGTGTTTGGCCTCTGCAGAAACGGGCGTTTAAAGGGACGCCGGCAGGTTGAATGTTAGTCGTGTTTGAGTCATTGCAGAGCCGGAGGGGAAAGTGGTTTCAGTCATTCTGGGTTCACAACCAAGACTTGTTCGAGTTCGTGAAACCGTCATGATCTATATTATAATCTAAACACCAATCAGCCATAACAACAGAAACACTGAAAACGGCTGACGTGAGGAGCAGCGATCCTGTCACTGCAGAGGAATGTTTTGCTGGGAAACGTTGCATCCTGTTCTTCATGTGGTCCTTATTTGAACATGTACCACCGCCTGGAGAAACTGCAGGCCTCGAGGGCCGGTGTCCTGCAGGTTTTAGATGTGTCCTTGATCCAACACAGCTGATTCAAATGACTTCCTCAACATGTCTTGAAGTTCTCCAGAGGCCTAATCATGTGATTGAGGTGTGCTGACCCAGGGTGAGATCTAAAACCTGCAGGACACCGGCCCTCGAGGCCTGGAGATCCCCACCGCTGGCCTAAACATTACTGCACACCAGACGCCCCGCCGTCTCTCATGGCTGTGGTCCTCCCTGAGATTATGGCAGTGCACTGCCATACGCTCGCCAAACTCTGCAGTACAAACTCAAAGGGATCAGATTAATCAATGGAGACGTGTTAGCCAGCTGGTTTTATTACCTTTTTTTTTTTTTTTATATCTGCTGATTTATCCCAGGAGAGTTTAATGCTTCTAAGTTTTCTTGTTTTATTTAAGTGACTGGTTTGATTTTAAAAACGGGTGTAAATATTTTTAAAGGTGATTATTGTCATGATGGCAGAATAATCAGGAGGATTTTCCAGTTGTGGTGATTTTCAACAAATCACAGCACCGTGGACGCCTTCTCTCACCTCTGGTTATGTTTTTTCTTCCTCTTATCTCGGGCTCTTTTTCTGTTTGGGGGTTTTTTTTGTTTTTTTTTCCCTCATCTGGGTGTCTTGGTGTTGGTTCTGTCTCTGATTTAACCACCGATTCCCTCCTCTCTCTCTCTCCCTCGCTGTGCTGTCCTGCATCTTGACCACTAGGAGTCGCTCTTTCCTCAGCCACCACATGTCGTCTCTGGGTCTAAGCAGGAAGTCCAGGTTCTTCTCCAAAACCAGCTCCATCTCTGAGGAGCATCGGGCCGACTGCAGGTCTGTAGCACTCAGACCGACCTCAGACCTGCAACCAGGACTCCTGCCTGTCTGCTGTCGACTAACAAACACTCTGCAGTCATGCTCGTGCTCCCTGCAGCACTCTGTCTGCTGCCATGCCTTCAGTCCCTTTAGGATTCACAATCACTGTCATTATTTATTTTACGTTTTGTTGCAAAATCACAGACCAGTAACATGCGTTTCTCACTATCATGTATATTTCTCATACCACACAAGCTTAAGGCAACTATTGTGTAAACTGGTGTAGCTGAACTTTTAGCTGTCAGTCTTACTCACCGTGGACTCGGTCACATCCACTCTGCTGTCCACACAGCTCTGTGAAAAACCTGCTGTAACAGGAACTCATTAAGGGTTCATCTAACATCTGGTCACATGTTCCTCACTGACCAGCCAGACGCTGACAGTAGCACTGATTTTCTTGATGGTCGCTGCAGACGTGGAGCAACACACACACACACACACTCACACTCACACTCACACACACACACACAGAGCAGTGGTGGAATGAACTGGCAGAGAGCAATGTTTTTAAAGCAGTCTCACTCTCTTCTGTGTGTGTGTGTGTGTGTGTTACAGTCCATCCTCGCCAGATCTCTCTCTGCGCCAGAATTCCCAGTCGAATCTGCAGCAGCTCGACAACAAGACGGAGCCCAAAACTAAAGCGAAGTAAGTGAATCAGTTGATTTTTGGGGCGCGCTCTGTTTTTTCTGTTTGTTTGTTTAACGGACGGTTAAACCACGCGTCTCTGGCATCGCCGTGCAGGGTCATCACTGCAGGAGGGATCAGGTTTAGCCTTTTAAATGGTCCAGCGTTGTTCTGGAACTTTGTGGGTTATTTTAATCTGTGACCTTCATTATTTTTCTTTTATAAAAACTTGATTATATTCTGTGTTTAAATTCCTGGCTGATGTTTTCCCGTTCAATCCCGTGTATACAGCATCCAGATAATTTTATGGAAAATGTAATTATTATTTTGAGATGGATTATGTCAGTTTTCCTGGATCATTTCCTGGCGTTGTTTTTATTTCTTTCTAAAACGATACTTTTTTAGGACTGTTTCTTTATCTTATCTGTTATTATCTTTATTGCAATCTTTTAAAATCTGACGTTTTTATCTTTTTGGATCATTTTAGTTGAACTTTTTCTTCCATGTTTAAGTTGTTGTTGTCTCGTTACCTTTTCTTTTAGTTTTTTTTGTCAAAGATGATTTTTGGCTCTGATTTTCAGTTTGATAAAAACTGTGACGATGCAGTAAGAAGGGCTGCAGACGGTAAAAAGTTCAGCCGCAGCGTCTTCGCTCTCGCCGTTATTACTCTTTACTCTCGGCGCACTTCCTCTTTCAGTTATAACATTATAATGTGTTGTCTGTTTGTCTCTCCTCCAAAATTCCTGCTCCTTTTTTTTTTTTT